TTGTTGTGAGCCCTTAAAAGGGACAGAAATTGTGCGCTCAGGGAGCTCAGATTTTGATTTTGAGACAGTAGCCTGCCGATGCTCCCAGCTGAATAAAACCTTTCCTTCTACAACTTGGTGTCTGAGAGGTTTTGTCTGCGGCCCATCCTGCTACAAATATACTTATGCTTTGCTATATTTATTACTATTGGTCACTTAAAAGGGATTGCTTGGAAAGAACTGGATTGATTTTGCTAGGAATCAACCTTAAAGGGTAGAAGATTGTTGAAATTTGACCCTTTCAGTCTTAATCTTTGTTCCAAGCAGGAATCTGACTGGGGCTGAAGAGCTTGGTTTCTACCTCGTCCTTATCTTGCATAAGGAATGCTTTTGTTTAGGAAGAGGATCTGAAGGTTTTCTGTTCTGGGATAGGCCACAACCACTGTGGAACACAGTGATATTGAAGGATGGATAAGGCTTGCATGCTTTCCTTAGTGAGTTTATACAATCTATGCAATTTAGGCTTTCTTGATTTATATTCTAGAATAATGTCTATATTTATTTAAGTGGGAATCATTTTAATTTTATTTCTGATTTTTTATTCCTGTATTTTCGACATAAGTTACCTCCAAATCTACAATTTAATTAAATTTATCCCAGCTTTTGATCTTAGAACATAACATTCATTCTTGTTTCCAGCATATCCACAAGAAAAACCTCAAGCTGCGTTATCTGAACTATGTGTCAGAAGAGGTTCTAAGGAGAAGGTTTCCAGTGATGAAAGAGCCGAGCTTTCCCTACTTTGAATGGAGGAAACACAGGCTGGTTTTTCTGAAATTAATCCCTGTTCTTTCCATAACAATATTACATTGCACTAGAGGGCCTAACCTAGGGATTGTCTTTTATGTGTAATTCAAATTCTAAGAAGAATAAATTAACTATAGTCCAGTCACCACTGTAACTCACAGCAGGGGGGAAGGAAGAAGTATGTGGTGTGTCACTCATAACAAGTTGGTGATGTTAGATTATAACCAGATGAACAAAGACACACGCAAAATCATTAGAGTCAACCCAACACTCTGGCGATAATTCTACGTTATCATTATGATGACAATTCTGTATCACAGAGTAATCTTTTTTTAAAGACTTTGTGAGATAAGAAAGATAAACAAAGCCCAAGCAATAGAAATATTACAAATAGTCAACAGATATGATGGTAGACATGAACTAAACCAAACATGAATTTCATCATGGGTGCTCACCATGCAATGGTGTGAATGAGAATGCATTGGTATCAGTGCATGATATCAGTCAGATATCATCTAAGACTTGGAATCTATGTTCAAAATGATCAAAACCAAATTATGTAGCGCCACGTTAAAAAGATGGATATATTCAAAGTCTGAGGAATTGATTCAAGTCTAATTGAAGATGTAAAAATGTGAAACTTAAATTAGGGTATTGTTGAACCACAGAAAATCAGGGTTAAGACAAGTGCTGGGGCGAATGTTGGCAGTGCCCCACCAAGCAACTGCCCACAGGAGAGGGACTATGAATTTTCAAGTTCCATTGGTGAGAACTGTTGTGAAATGAACATATCAAGTGTCATTCAACATTTACTTTATATAACTTCCTGTCTGATTCCTTACTCATGTGGTGGTTTAGAAGTTCCTGTTACTTAATTCTCCTGTAATTTAATAAATAGACATCCTTGCTTTATGGGCTTGGCTAACAGGAGTCTGCTCTAAGAGGTGGCTTAACCCTTAGAATGTAAATAAAATCAGGTCTCTGAGTCTACAAGGCTAAAGGCCAGACCCAGATACATTTATCAAGGTTGTGAATTCTACCTTGCATGCCTTTTGGGGAGACAGTCCTTATTATTTATTTATTTATTTTTATCTCCAAGGGAATGCCAATTATCATGACAGTGTGTATGCTTTCTTTAAAGCATTATGTATGTGAATGCTTATGAAGTTTAGAGAATAACAGCAATTAGCTAATCAAATAATGATGGGGCAAGACAGAGTGTTTAAGGATCTCAAAGAATCTCAGGCATGGAAGGAATCCTGATAAACTTCCTGCCATATGTTGCCAGATCCAATGCTTAAGTGTGTAGTAAATGGAAATTCATACACCTGGGGTGGTCTGTTCCATTTCTAGGAAAATCTTTTTAAGGGCTTTTGGAGAGTTTCTGTACTCACCCTAGACCCCCTGAACTTTTTCCTCATTAGAAGCATCTGTTACTATGCAATCAGAATGGCTTTTCTAAGCGCTTCCCTACTCTTGGTTCCATCCTCTATTCCAGTGCCCTTTGCAGGAAAATCACATTCACATTCCTGTAAACATGACAATTATCTTCCTGCTCTGCAGAATGCAGTTCCAGCCAAGCAAGCATTTCCTTGCCTTGCTATCACAGATTTTTAGATGATCCTTTTGCAACAAGCTTATCATCACTAACCTTTGCTTTCCAAGTCCTTCTCATTGTTAAAATCTAGATCAGGGTGATTTACCTGGATGCCTAAGAACCTTCTACTCAATGTTAATGATTCTGAGGTCTCCACAAAATATCTAGATTGTTGGATGTTCCTTCATCCCTTCTCCTTACTACAGCAGTAACTGTATCTTGTTTTATTTGGCCTTTATTCTATATCCTCCTTCCCTTCTTTCTTCCTGCCTTCCTTTCCTCTTACCTTCCCTCTCTTCCATTCTACCATCCTTTTCATACAGACACCAGTCATATTGAATAAGAGGACCCGTTTATTCCAATGTGACCTTACTTAACCAGTTACATTCTCAATGACCTTATTTGGCTATGAATTTCTGGGGAAGCAAATCAATCCAACTATTGGAGTATCTCAGAGCACGTCCATGCCCAGTGATAACCACAAATGAGTAACAGCAATCACAGTGGACAATGGTATAGTAACCAGCAGCTCAGACCCTTCTGTCTCTCTTCTTTCTCTCCTCCTCTCCCTCCTTCTCCTAGAATTTCTGGCTGTCCATCACAGTTAAGAAGCAAAGATTGGATCTCAGTGGAGCGAATGACAGATCATAGATAACATTTTCATTATCCTGTCCATATTTCTCGGATCTTAGTGTGCTTGAGTCAGTTTCCATTTGCCAGAATCTGTATCTCTGTGCCTAAGGGCTCTTGTATTGCAATTACAGAAAGCCATGTCACCTGTGCATTCCACACAGAGGCATATCACTCAACTCAACCAATGATTCTGGAGAGCTGATTTACAAGACTCTAGCTCTCGTATTCCTGAAGATGGAGATTGCTAATTTATGTGTTTTCCATCATTTCTGATAGTTTTCCCTTTGGTTTAAGCTTTAGTTGGTCACTGTGATACTTACTGGCTCAATAGTGTACCCTTTTCTGTATCACTTCCCTGATCCCTAATGGTGTGATCTGCACTTCCCAATAAAATACTTTCACTGGAATATTTTTCTCAGTATCTGTTCTGGGAGAAACCACACTATGACATTACATTAACTCTCTCAGTCTCAATTCCTTCATCTCTACAATGGTAACACTAATACCTACTTTGAACATTTCCTAGAGAATAAATATTAGTGAACATAAAGCATTTAGTCACTACCTATCAAGTAGTAGGCAACCTGGAACATATTAGTTCTTTTGTTCAGAAAACTTAAAAAATAATTTTAATATTGAGTACAAGAATATATTTATAATAACTAACTAGATCAACTAAATTCTTTCTTTACTAGCTTTATTGGGGTATAATTAACAAATAAAAATTGTGTATATTTAAGGTATAAAAGGTTATGTTTTGATATATATATTCATTGTGAAATAATCATATATTTATTAGCTCACATAGTTACCATTTCCTTTTTATTTTTGTGGTGTGAACACTTAAGATCCACTTTCTCAGCAAATTTCAGGTATACAATAAAGTATTTTAAACTATATCCACATTAGAGTGCACCAGATCTGCAGAACTTATTCATCTTATATAACTGATGTTGGTCATGAAAATGTGCTTGTTCTTTGTCCCTTTACCCCATCACCCAGTGACTATCCCAATCAGTGGCTTTTCTCTCTTTCTGGAATCTTCAGAGCATTCCAGATATACAGTCTCAAAAGATGGCATCTGTATTTTATAAGGAATAACTTAAGTTCCTTTTGTTTTGTCAATATGTATTCAGGAGAAGAAGAAGGAGGCCATATAAGAATGGAAACGTTACCTGCAAATACAGGAGATTATTCCTCCATTGTTAAGTCACCTTAAGTGCATGTCTTGCTAGTGCTGAGTCCCAATGTAATTTTTATTTTAATGAGAGTTACATGTAAGTGCTCTTGGACAGAAAGAGAAGACCCAACCTTGAATCTGAGTCTGTCCATTTTTAGCTAAATAACATCACACGTTAAAATTTTCTCAGCTGGAAAGTGGAGGTAATAAAACATGACTGTCTGTTTTCAGAATCAAATTAGGTAACATGTATGGTGTGCAATATGTGTGTAAATCCCATATCAGGAATGCTGTAAAATAAAAAAAAACCATGTGAGATGCAGGACAGTTTTGAGTTTATTAAGAAACATAAAGGTAAGAGTCCCTGTTTCTAGGGCGATAACCCAAAATGATCATGAAAGGAATAAGGATACAAGAACCATGGGGAGGACATTGAAAATGAAAACATGACTGTGAAGACTATTGATCAGTTGCAAAACCTAAGTTTCTTAGAGAAACAGAATGAAGCTCTTGACTTTAGAGTCAAGTTGAGACCATGACTCCAAATTGAAAATACATAAAGGTGGCACATGATCCACAAGGTGTAAAGAAAAAGAGAATCAGGATGAAGTACTCTACCCTCGCTTAAGCTGATTCACAAAGTGTTAAACATGCAGAGAAGTCACAAAAATTAGGGTGAGCAAAGTTCACCCTAAGTTCACTTTGTTGGTTGTCATCGAAGTTTGAAAGTAAATTTGTCCTCTAAAAGATAAATCTGTTGCCAGAGGGTTATTGTATGGGGATGATGGTCCTCTGTGGAACCGATCAGCAGCAAAAAGGCTGGCAGCAACTGCTCACACAGGTGGGCTGGAAGCAAGTGGTCCTGCAGCAGGTGGTCTCACAGCAGGCTGGGCGGCAGCAGGGCTGGCAGCAGCTGGAGCCACAGCTCTGGTTTAGGCAACCAGGCAGGCAGACACACGTGGGGTGGTAGCAGGTCCTCCTGCAGTAGACAGGTGCACAGGAGCTGGGCTGGCAGCAGCTGGACCCACAGTTGGTTTGGCCACAGCAGCTGGACCCACAGCAGGAGGGCTGGCAGCAGGGTGTGCTGCAGCAGGAAGGCTGGCAGCAGCTGGTCACACAGGTGGGCTGGCAGCAGCTGGTCACACAGGTGGGCTGGCAGCAGGTGTTTTGACAGCAAGTTGGGCGGCAGCAAGGCTGGCAGCAGCTGGACACACAGCAGGAGGGCTGGCAGCAGGGTGTGCTGCTGCAGGTGGTCACACAAGTGGGCTTCCAGCAGGTGGTCCTGCAGCAGGTGGTCCTGCAGCACGTAGGCTGGCAGCAAGGGGAGCAACAGTTGGTCATGGTGTCAGGGGTGGAGGGTGGGTTTCTGTTCAGAGGTGAGTTTCCCAGAATGTGATGACCCCTTGCAATCTGGACCTTTTATACACCTGGCCTCCAAAGTTTCCACCAATCAGCAGGACTTTTCCTTGTTGCTGTTTACGTTGTTTTCTATAGTCAGTCTGGGACTGTCAAAGGGGAAGTTGTTTCCTAAAGATTATGAATCTTTTGAAAGTAAGGGTTTAATATGTCTCTTAATTGTGTTTACTCATAGAAACTTTGTTTCAGATAAAAGGAAGCCTGTCTCATCATCAGCATCGTTTCTGCTCTGACCATCTTCTCATTATGTGTTTGTTCCTGGTGACTGGGGAGGTTCAGGAAGTTCTCTCTACCTAGCCTCTTTCTTTGGCTATACCTAGGTTGGTAAGTGTCTTTGGGGAGAAGTGCAATGCTGATATGTTCACAATGACAGAATGAATCCATACCTGTGCTCAAGACTGTTCAGCCACCAAAATCTGATTCAAGACTAACAGGCATCTCTCTCTGTACAACCCACACCACCTGTGTCTTTCGGTTCCCTCAAAGTCACTTGGGAAGAGGGTGATTGGTACGTGCATTCTGTGTATCAGAGCAGAATCAAAGCAGGTGGGTACAAGGAGAAGTCCAGTGGGATTTAGATAGCATCAGGCAATCTTTGCCCTGGGGTGACCATTCATCTTGATTTGTCTGGGAGTGATGGGCTTACCAGGATGAGAATGTGGGACTTTGTGTAACATAACTACTTTAGATTTAGTCAAACCAGTCTGAATTGTGGCTCTAGCCCTAACTCTGGTACTAGCATAGTCAGTGCCATTTCTTCTCTCTTTCTCCATTTCTTTTTAATGAAGGAATTAGATGAGTTGAGATGATATCTGATTCGTCTTGGAGTTCTAACATATTAAAACATTGTTTAGGTGCACCATTCATTTTGGAAGAATGCAAATTATTAATTCCCAATTTGATATAACTTTGTAAATACATCTATGTTCCCATTACCGGGTTACGAAATAGAAATTAATCCCATTCCCTTTCAGTTACTCATCCCCCAAACCGCTCATCACTCTGTCAAGTTGTAACCCTGTAGGTCAATTTGGCTTTTCCTTTTTTACTTCTGTGTGAATAAAAATTATAATATATGTTTCTCTGTTTCTTTTGCATAATCACAAGTAATAATTATCACCTAGTCATTTTGCACTCTTTATGTCAGCTAAGCAGAAGGCAGAGGACACAGTTGGTGAGGGGTAATTATTCTGAAGGCATAGAATGTAGGAGAATGTATCCGTAGCTCGGGAGATTTACTGAATATGTTAATTTACTAGCACTGCCATGATAAACTACTACAAACCAAGTGGCTTAAATTTATTTTCCCACAGTTCTGAAGAGTAGCAGCCTGAATTTAAGGTGTTGACAAGGTTGTTTTTACCTGAGGATTGTTAGGGAAGTATCTGTTCCAGGTGTCTGTCCTTGACTTGTAGATGTCTGTCTTCTCCACCTGTCTCTTACATGATCTTCCTTGTAGATGCACATGGCCTCTGAACTTCCCCATTCTATACAGGCACCAGTCCTATTGAATCAGAGGCCTAACTTATTCCAATATGACCTGATCTTAACTAATTACATTTCAGTGACCTTATTTGAATATGAATTTTGGGGGAGACATTCAACCCATAACACTGGAGAATCTCGTGGTGTGTCCATGCTCAGTGATAACCACACAGGAGTGAAAACAGCAATCACAGTGGATAATGGTACAGTAACTAGCGGCTCAGACCCTTTGGGCAGGAACGTCTGGGTTACTCCTTCAGGAAATTATCTAGAGCAACAAAAGTGCTGGGCAGTGGTGAAGGAAATATAGAACTTTTGATAATTAATGGAGATTATGACTGTCAGGTGTACCTTATTATAGCAGCAGTAACTGTTGCTTGTTCCATTGGCCTTCATTTTACATATCTCTCCCCCTCCTTTCTTTGCTTTTTAATTTCTCCTTCCTTCCTTCCCTCCCTCCTTCCTTCCCTCCCTCCTTCCTTCCTTCCCTCCCTCCCTCCCTCCCTCCCTCCTTTCTTTCTTTCTTTCTTTCTTTCTTTCTTTCTTTCTTTCTTTCTTTCTTTCCCTCCTTTCTTTCTTTCTTTCTTTCTTTCTTTCTTTCTTTCTTTCTTTCTTTCTTTCTTTCTTTCTTTCTTTCTTTCTTTCTTTCTTTCTTTCTTTCCTTCTTTCTTTCTTTCTTTCTTTCTTTCTTTCTTTCCTTCTTTCTTTCTTTCTTTCTTTTTCTTTTCTTTCCTTCTTTTTCTTTTCTTTCCTTCTTTTTCTTTCTTCTTTCCTCCTTCCTTTCTTCCTTCCATCCCTCCTTTCCTTCTTCCTTCCTTCTCTCCTTCCCTCCTTTCTTCCTTCCCCTCTTCTTTCCTTCCCTCCTTTCTTCTCTCTCTTTCTTTCATTTTTCTGTCTTTCTTCTTTCTCTCATTTTCCGTTTGTCCTCTTTCTCCTCTTCCTTTCCTCCTCCTCTTCCTTCTTCTAGAGTTTGTGGCTGCCCACCACGTTTAAGAAGCAAAGACTGAGTCTGTGTGGAGCAAATGGTAGGTTGTAGATAGGATTTCCTTATCCCATCCTTATATCTTGGATCTTAGTGTGCTCAGACTAATGTGCATTTGCCAGAATCTGCATCTCTGTGCCTACGGGCTCTTGTATTGTAACTGCAGAAAGTCATGTCGCCTGTGCATGCCACACAGAGAAAAACACTCAACCAATGATTCCGGAGAGCTGATTTGTGAAGACTCTAGCTTCCTCATTCCTGAAGTAGGATAATTCTAATTTGTTTGTTTTTCATTATTTCTGATAGTATTTTGTTTTGTTTAAGCTTTAGTTGGTCACCGTGACACTAATTTAATAGTCTACCCTTTTCTGTGTCACTTCTTCAATACCTGCTGGTGTGATCTGCACTTTTCAATAAACTACTTTCACTGGAATATTTTTCTCGGAGTTTGTTATGGGAAAACCAAACTCTGATATTACATTTCCTCTCTCAGTCTCAATTTTCTCATCTCCACAATGGGAACATTAATACCTACTTTGAATGTTTCCTGAAGAATTAATGATAATGTTCATAAAGCATTTAACCAATAACCATTAAATGGTAGGCAACCTAGGACATATTAGTTTTCGTTTTTTTGTCCAGAGAACTTCTAATTTTAATGTTGAAGATAAGAATACATGAATAATAATTAACCAGATAAACTCACTTCTTTCTTTACTAGCTTTATTGAGGCATAATTGATAAATAAAAATAAAATTGTGTATATTTAATGTGTACAACGTGATGTTTTGAGATATATGTATATTTATTGTGATATCATCATATATTCCTTAGCTCACATAGTAGCCATTTCCTTTTTACTTTTGTGGTGTGAACACTTCAGATCTACCTTCTTAGCAAACTTCAGGTATAAAATAAAGCATTTTTGTTAACTATAGTCATGTTGCTGTACACTAGATCTGCAGAACTGACTCATCTTGCATAACTGATGTTGGTTAAAGAGAATGTGATAGTTCTTCACCTTCTTTGCCCCATTATGCAACAGCTATCACAGTCAGTGGCTTTTGCCTCTTAGCTGAGTCTTCAGAGCATCCTAGATATGCCGCCTTAGAAGCTGGCATCTGTCCTGGAAACCTACATCGTTAGCTCCTCAGAGGTATTTCTATCATTCCCATGCTGGTAGGAGGTCCCAAGAAGGGGGCCCAGGTCCCTAACTTTTCTAATTCTCTCAGGGCCAGTATCAATCAACCCCTCCATGATTGAATACTTCAGTTGCATCATCAGTTCAGGAACAAAAGCACCAGTCTTCCATCTGTCATGACTTCCATGAATGAGAAAGTTCTTCCACTTTTCCTCCTTCTTAAATTCTTCTGATTTCTCTGGAAACACAGGTTTTTGGTCTCTTGAGATGCTTCCTATTTGCCTCACAAAACTCAGAAGGTTGTTTTATGCCTTTAGTTGGCACAGAGATTATGGTTTGTGCAAAGGCATACATGCCCATTGCATAGTCCCTCGATCCCCAAATTTGTTTCACTTAATTTTTCTAATAACATTTTGATTTGAGGGACAATTTGACTTAACGTGGCTTAATGTATGGTCCATATTTTAGAAGGAATAACTTAAATTCTTTTTGCTTTGTCAACAGGTATTCAGGAGAAGGAAGCCATATAAGAATATTATTTATGTGATACCAGGAAAAAAAATTCCCAAATGAGATCCTCACTCATGAGGACACAATGCATACTCAAAAATTTCTGATGCAGATTAATTAAATGAATAGCTGGTCAACGGCTGAGACAAAAAGGAATCCTCACTCAGGGCAGCTATTAAATGCAGTCCCTGTTGTCATACCACGTAGCTATTGCTCACTGAGGTGTGGAAAACTAATTTGGGAAGACCTTTGTTAACAGAAATGTTATCTGCAAATATGAGAGATTATACCTTCCACGTTAAATAAACTTAAGTGCATGTCTTACTCTTGCTGAGTCCCAATATCATTTCTACTTTACTGAGAGTTAAATGTAAATGTTCTTGGGCAGAAAGAGAAGCTCTCACCTTGGACCAGAGTCTGTCCTTTATTAGCTACATAAAATCACACATTAAATTGTTCTCAGCTGAAAAATTGAGGTAATAATACATGACTGTCTGTTTTCAGAATCAAATTGGATAATACATATAGTATGCAATATGCGTGTAAATCCCATATCAACAATTCGGTAAAATAAAACAAAACACCATATGAGATGAAGGATGGTTCAGAATTTATTCAGAAACGTATAGGTAAGAATCCCTGCTACTAGGGACATAGCCCAAAGTTACCGTGAAAAGAAGAAAGAAGGGTAAAAGAACCACGAGGACAAAATTGAAAAGGAAAATATGATTGTAAAGATTATTGATCATTTGCAGAAATCTAAGTTTCTTAGAAGGAGAGAATGAAGCTTTTGACTTTAGAGTCAAATGGGGACCATGACTCCACACTGAGAACACATGAAGCTGGCACATGATCCACCAGGTGTAAGGAAAAAAGAATCAGGGTGAAGTATTCTGCCCTCCCTCAAGCTGATTCACAAGATTTTAAACTTGCAAAGAAATAAAAAAAAATTGGTGAAAGCATACTGTGTGTCAGTAAAGTTTGAAAGTAAATTTGTCTTCTGAAAGATAAGTGAGTTGGGGCTGGGCGTGGTGGCTCATACCTGTAATCCCAGCACTTTGGGAGGCTGAGGCAGGTGGATCACTTGAGGTCAGGAGTTCCAGACCACCCTGATCAACATGGTGAAGCTCTGTCTCTACTAAAAATACAAAAAATTAGCCAGGCGTGGTGGCACAGGCATGTAATCCCAGCTACTAAAGAGGCTGAGGCAGGAGAATCGCTTGAACCTGGGATGCAGAGGCTGCATTGAGCCGAGAGTGTGCTACAGCACTCCAGCCTGGGCGACACAGCAAGGCTCCATCTCAAAAGAAAAAAAGTCAGTTGGGCAGAAGATTGTTGTGTGAGGATGATGGTCCTCTGCCGTGCTGCTCAGCAACAAGAAGGCTGGCAGCAGGTGGACACACAGCAGGCTGGGCGGCAGCAGGGCTGGCAGCAGCTGGATCCACAGCTCTGGTTTAGGCAACCAGACAGGCAGATGCATGTAGGGTGGTAGCAGGTTCTCCTGCAGTAGACAGGTGCACAGGAGCTGGTTTGGCCACAGCTGGTTTGGCCACAGCAGCTGGACCCACAGCAGGTGGGCTGGCAGCAGGGTGTGCTGCAGCAGGAAGGCTGGCAGCAGCTGGTCACACAAATGGGCTGGCAGCAGGTGGTTCTACAGCAGGTGTTTTGACAGCAAGTTGGGTGGCAGCAAGGCTGGCAGCAGCTGGACACACAGCAGGAGGGCTGGCAGCAGGGTGTGCTGCTGCAGGTGGTCACAGTGGTGGGCTTCCAGCAGGTGGTCCTGTGACAGGTGGTCCTGCAGCACGTAGGCTGACAGCAAGAGGAGCAGCAGTGGGTCATGGTGTCAGGGGTGGAAGGTGAGTTTCTGTTCAGAGGTGAGTTTCCAAGAATTTGATGACCCCTTGCAGTCTGGACCTTTTGTAAACCTGGCCTCCAAAGTGTCCACCAATCTGCAGGGTTTTTCTTTGTTGCTGTTTACACTTGTTTTCTATAGTCAGTTTGGCATTGTCAAAGAGGAAGTCATTTCCCAAATGTTATGAATCTTTGGAAAGTAAGGGTTTAATCTGTTTCTTAATTGTGAATTACTCATAGAAACTTTGTTTCAGATAAAAGGAAGGCAGTCTCATCATCGGCTTGGTTCCTGCTCTGACCATCATCTGGTCATGTGATAGTTCCTGGTGACTGGGGAGGCTCAGGAAGTTCTCTCTGCCCAGTCTCATCCTTTGGCTCTATGTAGACTGGGAAGTGTCTGTGGGGAGAAGCATGATGTTGATATATTCACAGTGGTGAATTGAATCCATGCTTGGGACCAAGACTGTTCACCCACCAAAGCTTGATTCAAGGTTAACAGGAATCTCTCTATGTACGACCTACTTCCCAAAGCCACTTGGGAAGAGGGTGTTCGGCACAATGTATTCCATGTGGCAGAGCAGAGCCAAAGCAAACAGGTAGAAAGAGGAGGAGTTCACTGGAATTCTCAAAGCATCAAGCAATGTACCTGCTGGGTCGACCATTCATCCTGATTTGCCTGGGACTGAGAGGCTTACTAACATGAGAATGTGTGACTGGGAATTACTGTGACATAACTGCTCTAGGTCCAGGCAAAGCAGTATGAGCTGTGGCTCTAGCCCTAATCCAGGTTACTGGCACAATCATTGCCATTTCTCTGTCTCTGTCTCTCTCTCTCTCTCTCTCTCTCTGTTTTCAATGAGGGAATTAGATGAGTTGAGATGATATCTGATTTCTCTTTGAGGTCTACTATGTTTAAAACTTTTTAAATTATACCATTCATTTCAGAAGAATGCAAATTATTAATTTCCAGCTTGATACAATATTACATTGTAAATACATCTAAGTCCCCATGACCAGTTTACAAAACAGAAATTAATTCCATTCCATCCAAATTATATCTTTTTACTCATCTCCAAAGGTAGCTAGTCACTCTATCAAGTTATAATCCTGTAGGTCAGTTTTGGATCTTTCTTTGACTTTTATGTAAATAAAAATTATAGAATGTGCTTCAATGTGTTTTTGGCATAATCAAAAGCAGCAATTATAACCTGGTCATTTCATTTTGGATCCTTCATGTTAGCAGACCAGCAGGTAGATAAAGGAGTTGCTATTTCATGAGGGATAATTTTCATGAAGCCATAGAGTATAGGGAGAATATATCTGAAACTCAAGAGATTTACTATATGTATTTAAGTATTATACTGCCATTAAAAACTATGGCAAATCAAGTGGCTGAAATTTATTTTCTCACAGTTCTGAAGGCTAAAATGAAGGTGTTGGCAATGTTGTTTTCATCTGAGGGCTGTGAGGGAAGTATCTGTTCCAGATCTCTCTCCTTGACCTGTAGATGTCTATCTTCTCCATGTGTGTCTTACATCATCTTCCCTCTACATGCGTCCGATCTCAATTTCCCCTTTTTATGCAGGCATCAGTCGTATTGAGTCAGAGGCACAATTTATTCCAATATGACCTTATATTACCATATTGCATTTTAAATGATCCTATTTGAATATGAATTATTGAGGACACAATTCAACCCATAACCTCAGAATATCTCAGAGTGTATCCATGCCCAGTGATAAACACAAATGAGTAACAAAAGCAACCACAGTTGGACAATGGTATAGTAAGTAACTAGAGGGTAAGACCCATCAGGCAGGAAGTTCTGAGCTACCTCATCAGGCAATTATCTAGACCAAGAGGAGTGCTGGTTAGTGGCGAAGGGGAATATAGAACTGGTGGAAACTGATGGAGATTATGAATCTCAGAAGCACCCTATTACAGCAGCAGTTTCTTTCTTCTTCTTTTCTTCTCTTTTTTTCTCTTTCTTCCTTCCTTCCTTCCTTCCTTTCTTTCTTTCTCTTTCTTTTTTCTTTCTTTCTTTCTTTCTCTCTTTCTCTCTCTCTCTTTCTTTCTTTCTTTCTCTCTCTCTCTCCTTCCTTCCTTCCTTCCTTCCTTCCTTCCTTCCTTCCTTCCTTCCTTCTTTCCTTCCTTCCTTCCTTCCTTCCTTCTTTCCTTCCCTCCCTCCCTCCTTTTCACTCTCTCTTTCCTTCTCTCTCTTGCTCTCTTTCTTCCTCTTTGTGTATATTGTCTTCTTCCCGTATCTTTCTTAGTTTTTTCCTCCTCTGTCACCTTCTGTTCCTCCTCTTCCTCCTCCTCCAGTTTCTCCTGGAGTTCATGGCAGTCCACTACATTTAAGAAGGAAAGATTGGACTTGAATGGAGCAAATGTTACTGTAGACAGGTCTTCATTACCATACCTGTATATCATGGAACTTAGTGTGCTCTTACCAATTTCCATCTGCCTGAATCTGCACCTCTGTGCCTTAGGGCTCTTGTATTGCAACTACAAAAAGTCATGTCACCTGTGCATGCTACAGGGAGAAAAATACTCAACTGAAAATACTAAAGAGTGGATTTATAAAGACTCTAGCTTCTTCACTCCTGAAGTTTGAGAATTCAAAGTTGTGTGTTTTTCATCATTTCTGATAAATTTTCCTTTAGCTTAAGCTTCAGTTGATCTCTGTGGTACTGGCTTAATAGTATACCTTTTCTGTATCACTTCCACAGTCCCTTCTGGTGTGATCTGCCCTTCCGAGTACACTATATTCATTGGTATCTTTTTCTCAGAGTATCTTCTGGGAAAAACCAAACTATGACACTTCATTACCTCTCTCAGCCTCAATTTCCTCATCTCTACAATTGGAACACTAATGCCTACTTTGAAAGCTTTTTCAATACTTAATGATAATGTACATAAAAGATTTACACAATATCCGTCAAGTGATAGGCCACTGAAAACATTAGTTCTTTTCTCTCCAGAAAATTCCTAAACTAATTTTAATGTTGATGATAAGAATATATTTCTAATAATTAACTAGATCTACTTTTTTTTTCTTTTACTTTAAGTTCCTGGACACATGTGCAGAATGTGCAGGCTTGTTGAATAGGTATACATGTGCCATGATTGTTTGCTGCACCTATCAACCTGTCCTCTAGGTCTTAAACCCTACATGCATTAGGTATTTGTCCTAATGCTCTCACTCCCCTTGCCTCCGGCCCCCCCGATAGGCCCTGGTGTGTGATGTTCCCCTCCCTGTGTCCATGTGTTCTCATTGATCAACTCCCACTTACGAGTGAGATCATGCGGTGTTTGGTTTTCCGCTCCTGTGTTACTTTGCTGAGAATGATGGCTTCCAGCTTCTTCCATGTCTCTGCAAAGGACATGAACTCATTTTTATGGCTGCATAGGATTCTATGGTGTATATGTGCCACATTTTCTTTATCCAGTCTGTCATCGATGGGCATTTGAGTTGGTTCCAAGTCTTTGCTAATGTAAATACTGCTGCAGTAAACATATATGTGCATGTGCTTTTATAGTAGAATCATTTACATTCCTTTGAGTATGTACCCAGTAATGGGATTGCTGAGTCAAATGGTATTTCTGGTTGTAGATCCTTGTGGAATTGCCACACTGTCTTACACAGTGGTTGAACTAATTTACAATCCCACCAACAGTGTAAAAAGCGTTCCTATTTCTCCACAGCCTCATCAGCATCTATTGTTTCCTGACTTTTTAATAATCGCCATTCTGACTGGCGTGAGATGGTATCTCATTGAGGTTTTGATGTGCATTTCTCTAATGATCAATGATGATGAACTTTTTTTTTCATGTTTGTTGGCCACATAAAAATCTTCTTTTGAGAAGTATCTGTTCATATCCTTTGCCCACTTTTTGATGGGGTTGTTTATTTTTCTTGTAAAAAGTTCCTTGTAGATTCTGGATATTAGACCTTTGTCAGATGGGTAGATTGCAAAAGTTCTCTCCCATTCTGTAGGCTGTATGCTCTTTTTGATGATAGTTTCTTTTGCTGTGCAGAAGCTATTTAGTTTAATTAGATCCCATTTGTCAATTTTGGCTTTTGTTGCCATTGTTTTTGGCATTATTGTCATGAAGTCTTTGTCCATGCCTGTGTCCTGAATGGTATTGCCTAGTTTTTCTTCTAGGGTTTTTGTGATTTTGGGTTTTACATTTAAGTCTTTAATCCATCTTGAGTTAATTTTGTATAAGGTGTAAGGAAGGGGTCCAGTTTCAGTTTTCTGCATATGGCTAGCCAGTTTTCCCAGCCCCATTTGTTAAATAGGGAATCCTTTCCCCATTTCTTGTTTTTGTCAGATTTGTCAAAGATCAGATGGTTGTAGATGTGTGGTGTTATTTCTGAGGTCTCAGTTCTGTTCCATTGGTCTATATATCTATTTTGATACCAGTACCATGCTGTTGTGGTTACAGTTGCCTTGTAGTATAGTTTGAAGTCAGGTAGCATGATGCCTCCCGCTTTGTTCTTTTGTTTAGGATTGTCTTGGTGATATGGGCTGTTTTTTGGTTCCATACGAAATTTAAAGTAGTTTTAAAAAAAATTTTGCAAAGACAGTCCAGGATAGTTTGATGGGAATAGCACTGAATCTATAAATTACTTTGGGCAGTATGGCCATTTTCATGATATTGATTCTTTCTATCCATGAGCATGTGATGTTTTTCAATTTGTTTGTGTCCCCTCTTATTTCTTTGAGCAGTGGTTTGTGGTTTCCTTTGAAGAGGTCCTTCATGTCCCTTGTAAGTTGTATTCCTAGGTGTTTTATTCTCTTTGTTGCAATTGTGAATGGGAGTTCACTCATGACAAGCTCTCTGCTTGTCTATTGTTGGTGTATAGGAATACTTGTGATTTTTGCACATTGATTTTGTATCCTGAGACTTTGCTGAAGTTGCTTATCAGCTTAAGGAGTTTTTAGGCTGAGATGCTGATGTTTTCTAAATATAGAATCATGTCATCTGCAAACAAAGACAATTTGACTTCCTCTCTTCCTATCTGAATGCCCTTTATTTCTTTCTCTTGCCTGATTACCCTGGCCAGAACTTCCAATACTATGTTGAATAGGAGTGGTGAGAGAGGGCATCCTTGTCTTGTGCCATTTTCAAAGGGAATGCTTAAAGCTTTTGCCCATTCAGTATAATATTGGCTATGGGTTTGTTATAAATAGTTCTTATTATTTTGAGATATGTTCCATCAATACCTGGTTTATTGAGAGTTTTTAACATGAAGGATGTTGAATTTTAATGAAGGCCTTTTCTGTATCTATTGAGATAATCATGTGGTTTTTATCATTGGTTGTGTTTATGTGATAGATTATGTTTGTTGATTTGCATATGTTGAACCAGCCTTACATCCCAGGGATGAAGCCAATTTGAGCATGGCGGATAAGCTTTTTGATGTACTGCTAGATATGGTTTTTATAAACTTTATTGAGGTATAATTGATGAATAAAAATTGTATGTATTTAAGGTATACAAAGTGATGTGTGTGTATATATATACATATATATATAGTGAGATATAGTGAGATTTTCACCACAGTGTGGCTAATTCACATATTCATTAGCTCACATACTTGCCATTTCAGGTATAAAATAAAGTATTTTTAGCTATAACCACACTACTGTACAGTAGGTCTGCAGAACTTATTCATCTTGCATAACTGATGTTGGCCAAAGTGAATGTTTTAGGTCTTCATCTTCTTTACCCTGTCACCCAAGAAGAATCACAGTCAATGGATTTTGTCTCTTAGCCAAATCTTCAAAGCATTCTAGGTACACAGTCTCAGAAGTTGGCATCTGTCCTGGAAGTCTACATTGTTAGGTCATCAGAGGTATTTCTAGCACTTCCGTGCTGGTAGGAGGTCCCACAAAGGTAACCCAGGCCCCAGACTTTTCTGTTTCTCTCAGAGCCAGTATAAATCAGTCCTTCTATTAGTGAATACTTGGTTGCATCATCAGTTTGGGGCCAACAGCACCAGCCATCTGTCTACCATGACTTCGATGAATGCACACATTTTTCTACTTTTAGTCCTTCTTACATTCTTCTTATTTCCCTGAAAACACAAATCTTTATTTCCTTTAGATGTTTAATTTTGGCCTCATAAAACATAGAAGATTGTTTTAACCCATCAGATAGCTCAGAGATTATGGATTATGCAGTCATATGTGCCTGTTGCATAGTGTCTCAATCCCAAACTTTGTCCTTACTTAATTTTCCTGACAGCATTTTTATCAGGAAGTCAAATTGTCTAAATGTTGCATAATGTATGGTCTGTGTTTTACATGGAATTACTTAATTCCATTTTGCCCTTTCAATGAAATTTCAGGAGGAGTCCAGATATGAATTTGATTTATGTGATACAAAGGAATTAATCTATTCAGAAGAGGACACGATGCATTCTGAAAAGTTTTTGATGCAACCTCTTGAAAACCAGAACAAGACAAACATGCCATATCTTACCAGTCCTATTCAAAATAGTAATGGAAGTCCTATCCAGAGAAATATGGCAAGAGAAAGAAATTAAAGGTATCTAGATAGGAAGAGTGGAAGTTAAACTATCTCTGTGTGTGAATAAGATTTTACACCCAGAAAACCTCATAGTCTCTACCCAAAAGCTCCTTGATCTGATTAGCAACTTCAGCAAAGTTTCAGGATACAAAATTATTGTAGAAAAATCAGTAGCATTCCTATACACCAACAACATCCAAGCTGAGAGCAAAATCAATAATGTAATCCTTTTCACAATAGCCACAAAAAACAACAAAATACCTAGGAATACAGCCAACCAAGGAGGTGAAAAATCTTACAACAAGAATTGCAAAACACTGCTCAAAGAAATTAGAGATAACAAAAACAAATTGAAACACATTTTATGTTCATGGGTAGAAAGAATCAATATTGCTAAAGTGGCCATACTCCCTAAAACAATTTACAGATTCAATATTACTCCTATCAAACTACCAATGACAGCCTTCACAGCATGATGAAAAAAAATGTTTTACAATTCATATGGAACCAAAAAAGAGCCTGAATGGCCAAGGCAATCATAAGCAAAAATAACAAAGCTGAAGACATCACGTTATCTGACTTCAAACTACATTACAAGGCTACAATAACCAAAACCACATGGTACTGGTACAAAAACAGGCACATAGACCAGTGGAGCAGAATACAGAACCCAGAAATAATGTTGCACACCTACAACATGTGGTCTTCAGCAAAGTTGATGAAAACAGGCAATGGGGAGAAAGACTCCTTATTTAATAAATGGTGCTGAGATAACTGGCTAGCCATTTGCAGAAGATTGAAACTGGACCCCTTCCTTACATGACATACAAAAATCAACTCAAGATGGATCAAAGACATACATGTAAAACCTAAGGCTGTAAAAACCCTGAAGACAACCTAGGCAATACCATTCCCAACATAGGACCAGGCAAGGATTTTATGATGAAGTCACCAAAAGTAGTTGCAAAAAGAGAAAAAATTGGCAAATGGAACCTAATTAAACTAAAGAGCTTCTGCACAGCAAAAGAAACTATGAACAGAGTAAACAGACAACCTACAGACTGGGAGAGAATATTTGCAAGCTATCTATCCAACAAAGGTCTAATATCAAGAATATGTAAGGAAGTTAAACAAATTTACAAGCAAAACCCAAACAATCTCATTAGAAAGTGGTCAAAGGACATGAACAGACACTTTTCAAAAGAAGACATTCAAGCGGCCAAAAAGGGAATGAACAAATGATCAACGTCACTGATCATTAGAGAAATGCAAGTTAAAACCACAATGAGATACCCTCTGACACAATCAGAATGGCTCTTATTAAAGTCAAAAAATAAAAGATGATGGCAAGGTTTTGTAGAAAAAGGAACGCTTACACAATGTTGGTGGAATTGTACATTAGTTTAACCATTGTGGAAAGCAGTTTTGGGATCTCTCAAAGAACTTAGAATTAATATTTGACCCAGCAATTCAATCACTGGGTATATATCCAAATGAATATAAATTGTCCTACCATAAAGACACATGCATGCGTATGTTCATTGCAGCACTACTCACAATAGCAAAGACATAGAGTCAACTAAAATGTGCATCAAAAGTAGATTGGATAAAGAAAATGTGCTACATATACACCATAAAATACTATACAGAAAAAAAAAAAAGAAAAAAGAACAAGATGATGTCCTTTGCAACAACACGGATGGAGCTGGAGGCCATTATCCCAAGGGAACTAACCCAGGAACAGAAAACCAAATACCACATGTTCTCACATAAGAGTGGGAGCCAAACATTGAATGCATATGCACACAAAGACAGGAACAACAGATACTGGAACTTACCTGTGGGTGAAGTGTGGGAGGAGGACGAGGATCAAGAAACTGCCTCTCTGGTATTATGCTTATTATCTGGGTGACAAAATAATCTGTACACCAAACCCTGCAACACACAATTTAACTATAAAATAAACTGGCACACGTACCCCTGAACCTTAAAAAAATGTTAAAAAATTTATCTGATGCAGGTGAATTGAATGATTGGCTGGTATAGGCCAATAGGATCCCCACATTCAGGACAGCTGTTAAATGCAGCCCTTGCTGCTGTACCATGTAGCTGTTGCTCACTGATGGGTGGGCAATTAATTTGGGAAGACTTTTGTGAACCAAAATGTTATCTCTTGCCAAACACTAGAGATTATTCTTTCCATTGTTAAATAAACTCAAGTGCATAACTTGCTAGTGCTGAGTCCCAATGTCATTTCTACTTTATTGAGAGTTAATTGTAAGTGTCTTTGGACAGAAAGAGAAGATGCAATCTTGCATCAGAGTCTGTCCACTGTTAGCTACATAACATCACACATTAAAATTTTCCCAGTTGGAAAATGGAGGCAATAATACACTACTGTCTGTTTTGAGAATCAAATTGGGTAATACATATAGTAGGTGATACATGCATGAATCCCATATCAGGAATGCTTTCAAATAACACAAAGCACCATATGTGATGAAGAATGGTTCTGAATTTATTTATTAAGAAATATATAGGTAAGATTCCTGGTTCTCGGGAGATAGCCCAAAGTGATCATTAAAAGAAGGAAGGAGGATACAAGAATCATGAGTATATTGAAAAGAAAACATAGTTGTGAAGATTCTTAATCATTTGCAGAAACTTAAGTTTCTTAGGTGAAGAGAATGAAGCTCTTGACTTTAGAGTCAAAGTTGAGATCATGACTCCAAATTGAGAACACACAAAGCTGGCACATGATCCACAAGGTGTAAGAAAAAGAGAATCAGGATGAAGTACTCTGCCGTCCCTGAAGCGGATTCACAAGATATTAAACATGCAGAGAGTTCATTAAAATGTGGGCGACAGCATGGTGGCTGTCAGCAGCAAAGTAAACTGGTCCCCCAAAAGATAAGTCGGTTGAGCAGAAAGTTGTTGTGTGAGGACGGTGGTTCTCTTGGGAGTTGATCAGCAGCAAGAAGGCTGGCAGCAGCTGGACACACAGGTGGGCTGGAAGCAAGTGGTCCTGCAACAGGTGGTCTCACAGCAGGCTGGGCGGCAGCAGGGCTGGCAACAGCTGGATCCATAGCTCTGGTCTAGGCAACCAGGCAGGCAGACACATGTGGGGTGGTAGCAGGTTCTTCTGCAGTAGACCGGTGCACAGGAGCTGGTCTGGCCACAGCTGGACCCACAGCTGGTTTGGCCACAGCAGCTGGACACACAGCAGGAGGGCTGGCAGCAGGGTGTGCTGCTGCAGGTGGTCACACAGGTGGGCTTCCAGCAGGTGGTCCTGCAGCAGGTGGTCCTGCAGCACGTAGGCTGACAGCAAGGGGAGCAACAGTGGGTCATGGTGTCAGGGGTGGAGGGTGGGCTTCTGTTCAGAGGTGAGTTTCCCAGAATGTGATGACCCCTTGCAATCTGGACCTTTTATACACCTGGCCTCCAAAGTTTCCACCAATCAGCAGGACTTTTCCTTGCTGCTGTTTACATTGTTTTCCACAGTGCATTTGTGATTCTCAAAGGGTAGTTGTTTCCTTAAGGTTAAACAGATTAAGGTTTAATCTGTTTCTTAATTGTGAATTACTCATAGAAACTTCGTTTCAGATAAAAGGAAGCCCATCTTATCATCAGCATCTTTCCTGCTCTGACCATCATCTGGTCATATGATAGTTCCTGGTGATCCAGGAGGCTCAGGAAGTTCTCTCTGCCCAGCCTCATAGTTAGCTGTATGTAGACTGGGAAGTGTTTGTGAGGAGAAGCATGATGCTGATATATTTATGGTGACAAAATGAATCCATGCCTGGGCCCAAGACTATTCACCCACCAAATTCTGATTCAAGACTAACAGGCATCTCTCTGTGCAACCCACACCATCTGTGTCTTTCAGTTCTTTGAAGGTCACTTGGGAAGAGGGTGTCTGGCAGAGTGTGTTCCATGTGGCAGAGCAGATTGAGAGCAGGTGGATGCAGAGAAATCCACTGGAATTTAGACAGCATCGAGCAATCTATGCCCTCAGTGACCAGTCATTCTGACTTGTCTGCGAGTGTGGCGATTACCAGGATGAGAGTGTAGAACTTTCTGTGACATAACTGCTTGAGATTCAGGCCAATGAGCACGAGCTATGGCTCTAGCCATAACCCTGGTTACTAGCATGTTCAGTGTCGTTTCTTCTTTCTCTCCTTCCTTCCTTCCTTCTTTCTTTCTTTCTTTCTTTCTCTCTCCCTTTCTCTCTTTCTCTCTTTCTCTCCTCTCTCTCTCTCTCTCTTTCTGTCTGTCTCTCGACCAATTCTTGCTCTGTCGCCCAGGCTGAAGTGCAGTGTTGTGAACTCGGCTCACTGCAACCTCCACCTCCCGGGTTCAAGGGATTCTCCTGCCTCAGCCTCCCGAGTAGCTGGGACTACAGGTTCCCGCCACCATGCCTGGCTTATTTTTTTATTTTTAGTAGAGAGAGGGTTTCACCAAATTTGTCAGGCTGGTTTCAAACTCCTGACATTGTGAGCTGCCTGCCTCGGCCTCCCAAAGTGCTGATATTACAAGCGTGAGCCACCGTACACAGCCTTTATTTCCATTTAATGAAGTAATTAGATGAGTTGAGATGACACCTGATTCATCATGGAGTTCTAACATGTTTAAAACATTTTCTAGATACACCATTCATTTCAGAGGAATGCAAATTATTAATTTCCAACTTGATACAGTGTTATATTGTAAATACATCTATGTCCCCATTACATCTATGTTAGGAAATAGAAATTAATCTCATTCTCTCCCAATTATATCCTCTTACTCATTCCCAAAGACAGCTAATCACTCTGCTACATTCTAATCCAGTGGGTGACTTTTGGCTTTAAAAAATGTTTGTGTAAATAAAAATTATAGTATTTACTTCTCTATTTCTTTGGCATAATCAAAAGTAATCCTTATTGCATAGTCACTTTGGACTCTTCATATCAGGAGAGCAGCAGACAGAGAAAGGAGTTACTATTTGGTGAGGAGTAATTATCCTCAAGCCATATAGTGTAGGAGAATATATCTATAGCTCAGGAGATTTACGGAGTATATTAACTTGCTATCAGTGCCATGATAAATTACTGCAAACCAAGTGACTTAAATTTATTTTTTCACAGTTCCGAAGGCTTCTAGTCTGAAATTAAGGTGTTGGCAATGTTGTTTTCATCTGAAGGCTGTGAGGGAAGGATCTGTTCCAGGTCTCTCTCCTTGACTTGTAGATGTCTATCATTTCCATGTGTGTTTGACATAATTTTTCTACTATATGCATACTGCCTGTGAATTTTCCCCTTGTATATAGACATCAGTCATATTTAATCAGAGGCCTAATTGTTTCCAATATGACCTTGTCTTGTCACATAGCATTTTAAATGATTCTATTTATATATGAATTTTGGAGGACACGAATTAACCCATAACACTGCAGAATCTCATAGTGTGTCCATGCCCAGTGATAACCACAGATGAGTAAGAACAGCAATCACAGCGGACAATGGTATAGTAACTAGAGGCTCAGATCCTTCAGGAAGGACATTCTGAGCTACTGCCTCAGCAGTTATCTAGACCAACAAGAGTGCTGGCCAGGGGTGAAAGGAGAATAGAACTGGTAGTAATTAATGGAGATTATGAATCTCAGGGGCACTGTATTACAGCAGAAGTAAGTGTAGCTTATTTCATTGGCCTTCATTTTATATCTCACTTTCTCCCCTAACTTTTCCTTTCCTTCTTCATTTTTCTTTCTTTTGTTTCCTTCAATCACCCCTTCTCCTTCCTTCCTTCAGGTTTTTTTCATTTCTTTTTCCCTTCCCTTCCCTTCCCTTCCCTTTCCTTTCCTTTCCTTCTCTCTCTCTTTCCTTTTTGTTTCTTTCTTTTCTCTTTCCTCTTCCTCTCATCTTCTGTTCCTTCTCTTCCTCTTCTTCCTCTCCTCTGCTTCTTTCTTCTTCTAGAACTTGTGGCTGTACATCACATTTATACAGCAAAGATCTGACTTGAGTGGAGGTACTTGTAGGTCTCAGACAAGTTTTCATAAGTTCACCCATATATCTTGCATGTTAGTGTGCTTGGATTAATTTCCATCTGTCAGAGTCTGCATCTCTGTGGCCAAGGGCTCTTGTATTGCAGCTGTAGAAAGTCATGTCACCTGTGAAGGCAACACAGAGAAAAACACTCAACCAATGATTCTGGAGAGCTGATGTATAAAGACTCTAGCTTCCTCATTCCTGAAGTAGGGTAATTCTAGCTGTGTGTTTTTCATCTTTTCTGATAGATTTCCCTTTAGTTTAAAGTTTAATTGCTCACTGTGATACTGACTTAATAGTGAACCCTCTTCTGTATCACTTCCCCAGTTCCTACCAGTGTAATCTGCATTTCCCAATAAACTAGTTTCCCTGGAATCTTTTCTTCAGCGTCTCTTCTGGGAGAAACTTATCTGTGACATTATGTTAACTCCCTCAGCCTCAATTTTCTTATCTCTACCATGGGAACATGAACACCTATTCTGAAAGTTTGTTAAAGAATTAATGATAATGTACACAAAGCGTTTAGCAAATGCCCACCATATAGCAGGCAATCCAGAACATATTAGTGTTTGTTTGTTCAGAAAATTCCCAAGTTTAATGTTGAAGATAAGAATACTTTTGTAATAATTAACTAGATCAACTAAATACTTTTTTCCTATCTGTACTGAGGTATAATTGACAAATGAAAATTGTGTATATTTCAGGTATACAAGGTGATGCTCTGATACATATATTCATTGTGAATAATATATTTGTTAGGTCACTTAGTTACCATTTCCTTTGTATTTTTGTGGTGCGAACATTTAAGATCTAACTTCTCGGTAAACTTCAGCTATATGATAAAGTGTTTTTAACTATAGTCACATTACTGTACAGTAGATGTGCTGAACTGATTCATCTTTCATAACTGATGCTGGTCAAAGAGAATGTCCTAGTTTTCATCTCCTTTATTTCATCACCAAACGATGATCACAGTAAGCAGCCTTCGTCTCTTAGCCAAGTCTTCAGCGCATTCTAGATTCAGTCTCAGAAGTTTGCATCTGTCATGGAAATCCCCATTGTTAGCTCATCAGAGGTACTTCTAGCACTCCCATGCTGGTAGGAGGTCCCACGAAGGTGACCCAGGTCCCCGACCTTTATATTTCTCTCAGAGCCAGTATCAATCAATCATTCCGTGGGTGAATGCTTAACTTACATCAGTTCAGGACACAAAGTATCAACCTCTGTCTAGTATGACTTCTATGAAGGCACAAGTTCTACTTTGCTCCTTTCTTACCTTCTTCTGATTTTCCTGGAAACACAAGTTTTTCATTTCTTTAGATGCTTCATATTGGCATCACAAATTGCAGAAGGCTGTTTCTTTCCCTTCCTTGGCTCAGAGATTATGGATTGTGCCAAGTCTTACATGCCCATTGAGTAGTTTCTCAATTCCCAACTTTGTTCTTACATAATTTTCCTCATAACATTTCAATTAGGGGACAAATTGTCTTAATGTGGCAAAAGATACGGTCTGTATTTTACAAGAAATAACTTAGTTTCATTTACTTTGTCAATGGGTATTCAGGAGATGAAGGCTGTATAAGAATTTTATTTGCATGATATCGAGAATAAGTTTCTTCAGATGAGACTCTCTCTCATGAGTCCACAATAAATTCCCAAGCATTTTTTATGCAGATGCATAGAATGAATGGCTGCTCAGAGGCTGAGACAAAAAGATCCCTGCATTCAGGGCAGTCCCTGCTGCCACATCATGCAGCTGTTGCTCACTGAGGTGTGGGAAACTAATTAGGGAATTTTTTTTGTAAACAAAAATGTTAGCTGCAAACATGAGAGATTATTTATCTCATTGTTAAATAAACTCAAGTGCATGTCTTGGTAATGCTAACTTCCAATGTCATTTCTACTATATTGAGAGTTAAACATAAATGTCCTTGGGCAGAAAGAGAGGACCTCAGCTTGGAACAGAGTCTTCCCTTTACTAGCTACATAACATCACACATTAAATTGTACTCAACTGAAAGAATGGAGGTAATAATACATGATCATATGTTTTGGGAATAAAATTGGATAATACCTATGGTATGTGATATGTATGTAAATCCCATATCAGGAATGATTCCAAATAAAACAAAACACCATATGAGATGAGGTTGGTTCCAAGTTTATTCAGAAACAAATAGCTAAGAATCTCTGTTACCAGAGACATAACCCAAAGTTATCATGAAAAGAAGAAAGAAGGATACAAGAAACATGAGGAGGATATTGAAAACAAAAATATGATTGCAAAGATTATTGATCAGTTGCAGAAACCTAAATTCCTTA